TCAACTATGATTGCATAAACATGACATGGATATTCTTCTGAACACAATAGTTTTTTTTTTTTTTTTTAAATTTTTGTATTATTGTTTATCAAAATTATCAGGAACTTTCAAAACTAGATACGGGTTTTGCTGCTTACCAATCGTTTTAATTCATATGCAGTGTTCTTTGTATCATTGTGGACCATTGATGTTTCTGCTGTTCTCGTCCAAACACAAGAAGACAGTAAAGACGAGACATCAAACTTGTTATTGGTGGTGGATGATATTTCAGTCTATTATATGGCTCTCTTTGACAAGAAAGAACTGAAACACCCAAAATGTCCTCTGTTGTATTTGCATAGTCTATGAAATATAAGGGAGAATTAAATAAATCTACCGTACTTTTTCTTACTGCAGACTTGCACGGTTGGTGTTTCAACTTCAAAGTCCACGACTTTCCTATTCCAAGTCTTCGTTTGCCATAATTTCCGTTGTCACTCGGCTCAGATGAGCTTTCCTTCTGCTACCAATTAGCAAAATCCAGCAACTCCATTAATTCTCATGGAAAGCTTTCATAACCATAAAATCCATATCCCTCTATTTTCTCTGCTTTTTTTTCTCTTCCACTTCTCATCCCTTCACTTTATCTCCTTAGCCTATGAGCAACCTCATAAGTATTTCGTTAATTGTGGGTCTAAAGCTGATGCAAACCTCAATGGCCGGGTGTTCACTGCAGACTCGAGTTCTGGTTTTTTGTGCTCAGAGAAAAGCAGGGCTATTGAAAGTACCAACCAGTCGCCAAGTCCGTACCAAACAGCAAGAATTTTCTACAACCAATCCTACTATGAGTTCACGATCGCTGAAAACGGTACTTTTATTGTCCGTCTGCATTTCTTGGCTTTCTCCTCCGCAGTTAATCTCTCCACAGCCCTTTTTGATGTTCTGGCTTTTCCTAATGTTTCAAATTCTGGGTTCAAACTGTTAAGCAATTTCACTGCTAAGAACAGTAGCAACTCTCCTTTGATAAAGGAGTTCTTCCTTGGGATTGATCCTGGCACATTTAAAATATATTTTGTTCCCCAAGCATCATCTTTTGCATTTGTGAATGCCATTGAAGTCTTCCTTGCTCCTGCAAGTTTCAGCCCTGAGAATTACAACAGTAGTCTTCCTTTAGTTCTGCATTCAATTTACAGGGTGAATGTTGGAGGCCAGAAATTCACACCAGATAATGACACAATATGGAGAAACTGGGAACAAGATGATAGATTTCTGTCTAATTCAAACTCTGCAAAGGATAGCCAACCCTCCTCACAGACGCTTATTAGACAGTCGGTAGAATCTGATGGTTTCGTTGGTGCTGATAATGATTTTATTGCTCCAGATTTAGTTTACCTGACTGCCAAAGTGATGACCGATAGTACTAAGGGGCTACCCAATCCCTTCAACATAACCTGGTCTTTTAATGTGAGTGCGGATGCTAGACACCTCGTCCGGGTTCACTTCTGTGACATTATCGGTCCGCCTGGTAATGTAGTATTTAACTTGTATTCAAATGGAAACTTCATTACGAAGGTTGGTGGACCCGATTTCCGTTTTAATAGCCTGTACTCGCCTTTCTACTATGATTTTGTATTGAGTTCTAATGGATCTGAATTCATTAACATCAGCATAGGCCCTAGCATAGACACAACAACAATTAACAATACCTTTCTAAATGGACTGGAAATGTTGGAGATAATAGAGGGACCAGCTTTAAGGAACCCTCCAGCTTCAGTTTGTAATAAGAAAGGAAGCAAGAAGATAAAGGTGGGTCTTGTGGTTGGTTCAGTTATTGGAGGCCTGTCACTTATCTGCATTCTGATTGTTGGAATCTTGTTCGGTTTGAAATACAGAAACGCAAAGCGTGTTGAAACTTCGGAATGGTCACCAATGCCTGCAGTTGGAGGAGGGAGTAACCACAGCAGGTTGACTGATGGAACCATTACTGGTTCCCCTATGAATTATCTAAATCTTGGGTTGAAGATATCTTTTGCTGAACTTCAGCAAGCAACAAACAACTTTGACACAAAATTGTTGATAGGTGAGGGTGGCTTTGGGAATGTCTACAGAGGAACTCTGTTGAATGGCAGAAATGTAGCTGTTAAGCGAGGAAAACGAGATGAGAAAGGGTCAGGCCAAGGCCTTCCAGAATTTCAAACAGAGATCATGGTTTTGTCCAAGATTCGCCACCGCCATCTTGTTTCCTTAATTGGGTACTGTGATGAAAGGTCTGAGATGATACTGGTCTACGAATTTATGGAAAAAGGGAGCTTGAGAGATCATTTATATGATTCAAACTTGCCTCGTTTGTCATGGAAGCAAAGGCTTGAAATTTGCATTGGTGCAGCAAGGGGTCTTCATTACCTCCACACAGGTGCAGCTGGGGGAATCATTCACCGTGATGTTAAGTCCACCAACATCTTGTTGGATGAAAACCATGTTGCCAAAGTTGCTGACTTTGGCCTTTCAAGATCTGGTCCTCTTGATGAAACACATGTCAGCACAAATGTTAAAGGCACTTTTGGTTACCTTGATCCTGAATACATAATGTCCCAACAGTTGACAGAAAAATCTGATGTTTACTCATTTGGCGTGGTTCTCCTTGAGGTGTTATGTGCAAGACCTGCTATTGATACAATGCTCCCAAGAGACGAAATGAATTTAGCTGAATGGGGAATGCTTTGCAAGAAGAAAGGGTTGCTTGAACAGATTGTTGACTCTTCAATCAAGAATCAGATTGATCCTAGCTCATTAAGAAAATTTAGTGAGACAGCAGAGAAATGCTTGCAAGATGATGCTAATGATAGGCCTACAATGGGTGATGTGCTGTGGGACTTGGAGTATGCATTCCAGCTCCAGCAAACAGCAAAGCATAGAGAACCCCATGAAGACAGCACAGCCAATGCTTCATCAGCATTTGTATTGCCAGATGTTCAGCGTTTTCCTTCAGTTAGCTCCACGATTAACATAGATGATCAGGCTCTTCCCGGATACGATGAATTAGATACAACAGAAGTTGAAGTTTTCTCCCAGTTGAGAGTTGGTGATGCCAGATAAATTTGTTCAGTTTGTAAGGTATATTAGTTAACCTTGTTTAAGTTTCTTTAGGCTGTAAAAGCTAAGTTTGGTATGCCTTGTTAATTTTAGTCCTATCTTTGATTATTGTACTACAACTGCTTTCCCATCTTTAAGATGTGATAATAAACAGAAGCAGCTAACAAATTCTAGGATAGTTAAACTGCTGTTGATTTGGAGTTTCACCGTGTTACCCCAGAGGAGTGTCTTACTTAGGTTCATGCATTACTCCCTGCTATATTCTATACTTTTCCTGAGACTATCCAGCCATGCTCTTAGCCTAAACCCTGGGCAGTAGGATCATGATACAAAACAATTCGAATTGAAGGAGGCCCAAACTCGTGATTGATAGTGTTATGAAATATGTTTAAATGCCCTGGAAAATATTATGGATAGGTGTGTCTCAAAAACCTCATGTCTCATGTGAATCTTGGAACTCAATCATTTATTTATCAGGGAAAAAATTCTTGCACAGATGCTTCAGCTAGTTTAGGCCATCAGGTGCACAGTCTAGTCCTCTGGCTTTGAAGTAGTTAATAGCAAGCTTTTTGACCAAAAGAAATGACAAGGGACACTTATGTGAAATTCTTCTCTTTGTTTTTTCTTACAAAGGTGAAAAAGGCTCTGTAAATGCAAATAGAACGTAGGATTAGGTAGCAAAATTAAGATGGATGTGACTGATAACCTTTCTTTGCTTTAATGTCTGCGCGTTTGAAGATAGGATTTTTATCTTAAATGTTTCTTTTTCCCTATGATATGTAATTAGTTACATTTTTGTCACCCTTGTTCTTACGAGGGAAATATTTGCCTTCTGTTATTCTCTTGGGTGCTTTACATCTGCAGTGCAGTTCTTGCAGCAAGAATCATGTAGGTACAGGGTAGATAGAATTGTAAATTTCGTGATGTGCGACATATAATTAGCAGCCTCAGTTACTGGTTTGTAACATTTTAATGAACATGGAGGAATTAGATGTTTCCAGATTTGTTGTGATAAGGCATTACCTTTCTTCTTTTCATCATAGGTACTTAAAATTCATTACCATGGCCTTAGTTTTTTCAGTTTGTTATGTTAGGGATTGGGTCTCCAACTGGTGGAAGGTTTAAGATTGACATCAATTGTCAAGAATCATTGTACATTTAAGATTACAAATATCCATGTAGAATTCGAAAGCCAAGAGTTAAATGGCATTTAATTTAAAGTTCTGAGAATTTGATAATAGAGAAGTATAAATTGTGTAGTTAGATTTGTAATCTTCACTTCTTTTTTCCTTGTGTTTTATCATTAATTTTTTTCTCCATATTTAGGATACAGCAACCAAAAGCAGATAAAAAAATGATTTTTTTTTGTTTTTTTGTTTTAAAGCACGCTTGGTCTTTGCTTTCCAGTGTTTTATCGGCAACCAAAACAGAAATTGTGAATGATTTCCATTTCTAAGATTTCTCCAAGAGCACAAAGTCATTGAATCGACAATTGATTAAAAAAATTAATAATAAGAACGATGGAAATACCTGAGCTAATCTGTGAGATTCAATCCCCTTCCTGATAGAACCCAATATGTTGTGAAATATAAATACCTCAGCTCCTCTTATATAGCATTAGGGATTACCCAAGAACCTGAAATCAAATTAACCAAATAAATGAACCCAAATTCGTAAAAAATAAATCAAAAATACCCTAAAGATAGAACATGGCTCACACCCACGCTCTACAAAGGACGAAAAATCTCCCAGAAGACAAAGATGCAAAAACTCGCAAGCAAGAAAGATGGAAGACGTCTGAGTCGAAGGCTGTAGAAACGATGAGAAATCTCCCAACCACAAATCTGTGAGACGAAGACTAAAAGTTCGGCTGGATTTGCAGCGCACCTCCCAAACGAAAATCGACGCCCCCCCACGCATGTCTAACAATGAATGCAGATCTTCCATGGCTGCCCCCCAACCAGCTGGTTCGAAGTGGACTGAAAATGGACGCTTCTCTGAGCGAACGAAATGTTCGCATCGGAGGGGAAGGGGTAAAAAGGGAAGAGAAGAAGATGTTTAGTTGAGGGCAGTTTCGTTCAATTTACTGTTACGAAGAGAAAACAAAACAAAAAACAACAGTAAAATGAGGGGCATTTCCGTCATTATACTGTTCTTAGAAACAGTGTTTAGTTGCATTGCACTTTAGTATATATATAATTTGTACTCGAATGGCAACTTCAGTAAGAAGGTTGGTGGATATCAGTCCTTTTTCTCAACAGAGTCAGCTACTCCCTTCTACTATGATTTTGTGGTGAGTTCTAATGAATCTCAACTCATTAGCAGCAGCGTAGGTGCTTGGATAAACTCTACAAACAAAACTGCCTTTCTGAATGGTCTGGAAATGTTGGAGATAATGGAGGGCTCAGTTTCAGTTTCTGATGTGAAAGAGTCTCTGAAGAAAAATGTGGGTCTTGTGGTTGGTTCGGTTGTTGGAAGCCTGTCTTTCATCTGCATTTTGGCTTTCGGAATCTTTTTTGGTTTGAAACACATAAGAAGGTTGACTGCAATTCGTGGGGTGAAGATATCATTTGCTGAAGTTCAGCGTGCAACAAACAACTTTGACGATGAGAAGCTGCTTGGTGAAGGTGGCTTTGGGAATGTTTACAGAGGAACTCTCCTCGATGGAAGAAAAGTGGCTGTCAAGAGAGCTAAGCAAGGTTCAGGCCAAGGCCTTCAAGAATTCCATACAGAGATCAAGATTTTGTCCAAGATTCAACATCGACATCTTGTTTCTTTAATTGGGTACTGTGATGAAAAGTCTGAGATGATAATTGTCTATGAGTTCATGGAAAATGGGACCTTGAGTGATCATTTATACGCTTCGGACTTTCCTCGTATGCCCTGGAAGCAGAGACTTGAAATTTGCATTGGTGCAGCAAGGGGTCTGGATTACCTCCACACAGTTGCAGCTAGGGGCATCATTCACCGTGATGTTAAGTCCAACAACATATTGCTTGATGAAAACAATGTTGCTAAAGTTGCCGATTTTGGCCTTTCAAAACACGGTTCTGCTGATGAAACTCATGTCGTCACCAAAGTGAAAGGCACCCGTGGTTACCTTGATCCGGACTACATGATGTCCGAACAGTTGTCTGCAAAATCTGATGTGTACTCGTTCGGGATAGTTCTTCTTGAGGTGTTATGCGGAAGACCTCCTATTGATGGAAATCTCCCAAGAGATGAAATGAACTTAGTTGAATGGGTGCTACATTGCAAGACAAAAGGGTTGCTTGAACAGGTCGTAGACTCTTCACTTGAGGGTCAGAACACGGCTGAGAAATGTCTGCGAAAAGACGCTAATGATCGGCCTACAATGGGTAATGTTGTTGGCGGGACTTGTGGATATTTACATACTTTTTTTACACACCAAGAATTCCTATTATAATTGTAATTGATTTACTTTAATTCCTGATTTCCTACTGTAAATAGATTTAAGAATTTATTATTTACTTGCTCATTCAGGTTTCGTTGTATTATAAATATGACCTCCTACAAGGAGAAGAATACACAGAAAATTTTCACAAACAAATATTCTCTCATAGTTTTCATATTTTAGCATGGTATCAGAGCGGCGATCTTGGAATTGCTGACTCTAGTTTCACACCCCCGCCATCGCTATGGGGGTTGATGATTTTTTCATCCCTCATGGATGTAGTACCACCGACTCCTTCTCTCCTTCTCAACCAACCATAGCCTAGTTGAGTGCCCAGATAGCTCAGCTCTTACAGATGCAGACTTTGGCCCCGAATTTGATCCTGAATTAGGATCCCCTTTGACGACCCCGACCCCAACCCCGACTATGACGACGACGACAACCCCGACTCCAACTCCGACTCCAACAACGACCTCAACCCCTACTTCGATGATGACTCTGACCCCGACCCAAAATTTGTCTTTGATTCAAACCCCGATCCCGACTTTGACTCCTACTCCAGCCCCGACTCAGGCTCAGATCCCAATCTGAATTCCTACTAAACCTGTATCCTATACATCTTCCACTGCACAGATTATGACTTCTTGACTAACGACCCTGACACATGGACCAGATTGAGAATATTGTGGTGATCCAAGACACACTCATGAGACTTGTTTTAAATTGCATGGCTATCCCAATTGGTGGACTACTCTTATAGATCGAGGACAACGCAATACGACCAGTAATGGTATTGGTTATGGATTCCATACTTCCGCTAAGATTGATTCCAGGGGCTGGATAATTGATTCCGGTGCAACTGATCATATGACGTTCAATCCTTATGATTTTCTTAATACTACACAACCTCGACGAACTTGTATTGCAATGCCAATGGAGTTACTTATCCTGTGACAGGGGCTGGCACTGTTGAACTCTCATCCTCTCTCTCACTGTCTAATACTTTACTTGTTCCATCTTTATCCAATAAATTGTTGTCAGTTAGTCAACTTACTGAACAATTGAATTATTGTGTACTCATTTACCCCGAGTTTTTGTTTGCTTCAGGATATTCACACTAATGAGATTCTTGGTCGTGGTATTAAGATAGGGGGGCTATATTATGTAGATGACTTCAGTCCCGATGTAGCTAACAATGTGACGCATCCTTTTGATAGCAAACAACAACAAATCTGGTTGTGGCACCGTCGATTGGGACATCCGTCTTTTAGTTATATGAAGCATCTTATACCAGATTTATTCTCAGGTTTCAAGGACTCCGACTTCACATATGATACTTGTATTTTGGCCAAGAGTCACCGTGTGCCCCACCCGTTGAGTACGAACAAGAGTACTTCTCCATTTACGTTAATTCACTCTGATGTCTGGGGACCTTCACCTATCACTGCTCCTTCTAGTGTTCAATGGTTTGTCACATTCATAGATGATTGTACACGGATGACATGGCTTTATTTGCTGAAGAATAAAAATGAAGTGTTTTCCCATTTTCAGTCATTCCACAAACAGATGAAGACTCAGTTTAATGCTCAAATCCAGATTCTTCTCTCAGACAATGGTGGAGAATTTGTCAATCATGACTTTCAGACTTACTTTCAACAATATGAAATTATCCATGAGACGACTTATCCTCAGACACCGCAACAAAATGGTGTTGCTGAACGAAAGAATCGACATCTTCCTGAAACCGCACGAACACTTCTGATTGGCTCTCATGTTCCTCGCCATCACTAGTATGATGCTATTGTCACCGCAGTTCACCTGATCAACCGCATGTCTTCTGATGTATTGACCTTTAAAACTCCCTTACAAGTGCTTGCGCAACACAAACCTCTGCCCTCTGTTTTGGTACTCACACCCCGAATCTTTGGATGTATGGCTTTCGTTCATCTCCACAAAAATCAACGTAGCAAACTTGATCCCTGTGCGCTTCGTTGTGTTTTTGTGGGTTATGCCACTCATCAGAAAGGCTACTGCTATTATCACCCTCCTACCCGACGTACATATGTCACTTTGGATGTGACCTTTCTAGAATCTGAGTTGTTCTTCCATGACCCATCATCTAATTCTACGCTTCAAGGGGAGATACGAAGTGACGAGCAGAATTGGAGCAACTTAGAAAACGAAGAAATTCTCCTCTGTACAGAAATGATCGACAAGCAATCAATCGCCCATTCATAGTCATCAATTGACTGACCTACCTGATCCATGCGAAGATATTTTTTATCCGAGTTTCACACCTAAAGACAATACAGAACAACAAGATGAAGACCCCCTCTAACTCAACAGTACCAATAGACCAATCTCCTGAAAATATCCTTGAGGTAACTACTCCTACTAGACTTGTGCATTTAGAGGATAAAACTATTGGATATCAATTACCTTTTTGGCAAAATCGTGGGAAGCCACCAAACCGTTATTCACCTGATATTGGCAAGACATCCAAGTATCCAATTGCAAATCATGTATCCACTGAGAAGCTATTTGAACCACTCAAGGCTTTTGTGCATCAGTTGTCTGCTATCCATATTCCAACGAAGGTCTTTGAAGCATTGAAAGATCCTAAGTGGGTTCAAGCTATAAAAGAGGAGATGAAAGCTCTTGAGAAAAATCAGACTTGGACATTGGAGACTATACCACAAAGAAAAAAGACTATCGGATGTAGATGGGTGTTTACTATAAAACACAATGCAGATGAATCTATCGAGCGATACAAGGCAAGACTTGGTACACACAGACCTATGGTATAGACTATGAAGAAACCTTTGCTCCAGTTGCAAAGTTAAACACCGTCAGAGTCTTATTGTCCCTTGCAGCTAATTTGGATTGGTCACTACACCAGTTTGATGTAAAGAATGCTTTTCTAAATGACGAACTCATGGAGGAGGTGTACATGGACATTCCTCCAGGATATAATACTACTCAGACTAGAACAGTTTGCAAGTTACGAAAAGCATTGTATGGATTGAAACAGTCACCACGTGCATGGTTTGGACGGTTCACCATGGCAATGAAGAACAATGGTTTCAAACAGTGCAACTCAGATCATACTCTATTCTTGAAACATCGGAAAAGGAAGGTAACAACATTAATAATCTATGTTGATGATATGATTATTACTGGGAATGATAAACAGGAAATATCACAACTACAAGACTATTTGGCTACTGAGTTTGAGATGAAGGATCCAGGTGGACTCAAGTATTTATTGGGAATTGAGGTGACTCAATCACAACAAAGCATATTTCTCTCTCAAAGGAAATATGTCTTGGACTTGTTGACAGACACAGGAATTCTAGATTGCAAACCTGCAGAGACTCCTATTATTCAAAATCATCATCTTGGAGAATATCCAGATCAAGTTCCAACTAATAAAGAAAGATACCAAAGGTTAGTGGGAAGATTGATCTCTTTGTCACATACTTGACCAGACATTGCTTATGTTGTGAGCGTTGTCAGTCAATTTATGCACTTTCCAAGTGAAGACCACATGAATGCAATTTTTCGGATACTTAGATATTTGAAGTCTGCCCCTGAAAAAGGACTTATGTTCTCAAAACATGGTCATCTAAATATTGATGGTTATTCAGATGCAGATTGGGCAGGTAATGTAACAAATAGAAAATCCACATCGGGTTACTTCACATTCGTGGGAGGT